ATATATATATATATATATATATATATATTCTTATAAATGAATAAGTTTGTTTTCCTATTGACAAATGTCATACTATTAGAACTTCTTATTAATATTATGTCAACTATTATGCTATTTGTCAACATATTAATTATCAATTTTAAATTTTAAATTTTTTCCACTCTAATTATATTAAATTATAATTGATTCTCCATTTTAAATTTTTTCACTTTAATATATTAAATTAATAACATTAAATTAAAAAATAAAATAAAATTAATACAAATTATAAGGTGATATAACTTCACGTATTTATTTAAATCAACGATTATAATTTTATATAACTAAAAAAAATCTCTTAAGTAGTAATTTATTTAAAATAATTGGTTAATAATTTTGATTTTTTAATATGAAAGTTTAATTAATTTTATAACCGTGGTTCGCATAGATAAGTACAGATGTATAATATATGTATGCATGTCATTGTGCACACAACTAATGGTATATAACGTTTGTGTAGTAGTACAAATACCAAAACACTTGTTAATGTACAAAAATAATATTTATATATATAGACTCTCACTCACGTATATGTAATATGTGTACTAGAAACTTGAACAACTCCTACCAATTACTCTCTGTAGTGCCTGCCTGATCATCTTTGCGGTGGATGCCGTACAACTCTTTAACTAAAAAGTACAAGTGCACCAAGCATGAGATGAAGATGATCACAATATTAAAATCATTGCAGTTACACTATTGATGTCACATAACATACCTTAGATTCAATGGTCAATGTGAGAATCCCATCAACAGTAGAAGAATGAACCGAATAAGATTCCAAGTTTAGGCTGCTGATTGCATAAAACACTTGTACCATCATATTTTCTCGCCATCTGCACCGAATCTCAATCGTAACATCCTTTTCTATCGCGCTCACTGTAATACAATCCTTTTCTTCTTCTTCTAACTGTAAATCTTCAACATCACAACAAGCTTTTCTTTTGTTTCCGTAATAATTATCACATGTTCTTTCTTGCATTTGAATCATGTCGTGCTGCTGGGATTTCTTGTTTTTTCTATCTTCATTGGATTCCAACACTTTCACCCTTCTCTTCAGAGTTTTTAAGTAATCGATAGTATCATCAAGCAGAGACACTTTGTCAACCTAATTAAATACATAACAATAACAATACTTTGTGTTAAAAGTAGTGAAATGACAATACAGCCCATGAATATGATGATGTCTGAAAGTTACCTTGCCTCTACAAGGGACCATGGAGCTGAGAAGAGAAAACCGATGGTTGAGTTTCTTTGTATCATCCTCATGCTCATGCATTTTGGGGACCTCAAAAAGCACCTTCTTCAGTAACATTTGTGAACAACTTCCCTTTCGATTCCTTTCCAATTCCATTCCATAGTGATTTTTCCAACTCATGAAAGCCGATTCATTATAACTGCAGCTTCTTGAATGAGGTCCCAAAATCAATCTTTGGGTGTTGTTGAATATCTTCGAAAGAACAGACTGATATCGACTATCATCTTCAGTCCACAGATTACTTGGACCACTGACTAAGTTTTGAGATATACAATCACTTGAACTACTGGAATTATTATTATTATTATTATGGTAGACACTAATCTCTTCTCCTTCCTCTTCATCATCTACAAACTGCCAGCTCTGCTCTTGGGATTGAAAACAGTGATGATTCAAACTGTTTTTGGGTGAATTATGAGTAGTCTTTGTAACTAGGGTTTGATCATATTCAAGCTCAAGCTCTAAAGGGATTTCAACAACCTTTTGAGTTGCAGGATCACTGATAAAAGCTTTAATCTGCTTAATGATGTCCTCATCTTCTAAAACCTTGAACAACATTTAGAACAACATCATTAACCGAGCAATCTAAAAAGAAGAAAGAAAGAAAGAAAGAAACCCGAAATGTTATACCATCTCGGTTATGCCAAACTCGACCACACCTTCTAAATATGGAATGCATACCACAGTCTACTTGTCAAAAAATGAAACAAAAACATGAATCATGGTTTCTATATATACAAGTGATGCCTGCTTCATAGTTCAAGAAAATGGCTACCTGAATCGATGCACTCTGAGGAAAAAGGTAGCAATGGAAAACAAGAGAGATATGTTAGATCGGATTAAAAACAAAACAATAATATAATATAAAAAATTGCTTACTTTTGCAAGAAGAGAGCGACTGAAGACTTCGCTATCCGCAAAGTGAGCATTGCATAACCAACTACTGCTATTCTTTGCCAATGTTCTTCCTGGCAATCTAAATTAGATTGAATCTTTATGGTCTCATCTTTCTTGATTTTGACTTTTGAAAGTCAATAAACAAATATAACATTGAAGAAAATAGGGGAAATTATGAGCTTACCCTTGACCATTAGTGAACTCAAATGTCATGCAAACCAAGAAATACCATTCGGTGTCTGTAAGATCTTCAGGGGATAATGCAGCTGAGGGCCTTCTTGTTTGTGGTTCACGTTCACCACCGGCTGAAACCGAAAGTAATTCGTAAAGTTGTCTTAATTGCTCTGTTCTTTGAAATCCCAATTCATCCTCATCATCGTCCTTCATTTCTTCTGCTTGTAATGTTTTCCTTGTCTTGATGTCTCCATTGTAGTACCCATCACTCCATGTCAATACCCTAAATCAAACTTCTATTCACATATCAACATGTTTTCCCAAAATTACCATAAACAAATCATATGGTTACCACATAAAATCAGCAGTGAAGAAAGAAATTGGTGTCTGGTGATAATATATATATATATA